CAATAAAGACTGTCTGGCCAATGTGAATCTAGATAGATGGGGCTAGGAATCCAGGAGGATTCTGGGAAGGAGATACACAAGAGAGTTCGAGATGTAACTGCCATTGGGGTAGGAAGCCTGGAACCTCCCCGGTAAGAAACATACTTAGATTAACAATTATGGGGTAATTACTTAAGTCAGAGCTAGCCAGTTAGAAACAAGCAAGGCCAACAGCTTCATAATTCATATAGCCTCCTGTGTGTTTATTTGGGACTGATGCGGATCTAGAACCAGGCTGGCGCTGCAGAACCCAGGCGACTGGAGGGGGATAAACCAAAGCGGCTAGCAAAAGAAAAAGCTTCTCTTAACAGGCTAGGAACAAAGTGAAAGAAGTGTGAATAAAATGTGAACTTCAGGCAAATAGCCACGTGCCAGCCTTGTAATCCATGTACAAGCTAACGTGAAACATTAGTAATAGGAGATGCTGGGTGCAGGCTTTATGGGTAAAACTTATATGCAGAGTATGCTAAGAGCTCTTTATCATCGTCTATGCCCTTGCTGCAAACATAAAGCTGTCTTAAAAGGCAAAACCACTCAGTATTTTGAACATAGAAGGAAAAGAGGTGTCTAGATGTCTGACCATTTCATAGAGTCTTAGTCTGCCACTCGTTAAATTAACCTGAGGCGAGTCATTTCAAACTCTCTAGCAGTCCATTTTCCTGTCAATAAAATGGAAATGGGAACAGGGTCTACATTTTTATAGTAGGTTCAGGAGACAGCCTATTACAGAACATAACACGGGACCAGGAAACTGTAGATACTTCAGAATGGTAGCTGTTAGTATCACTGGTCTTATTGCACGGATTTATTAGATATTAAAATGCATGATTAATGTGCTATTAGATTTATTTATTTTTAAAAATGACTATTCACTTGCATAGTTTATTTACTTTTAAAAGATTTTGTGATTTTTAATTATGTGTGCATGTTGGGGGCACACGTGAGTGTGGGTGTTCAGTGAGAACAGAGGCAAGGCCTTCAAATCCTTAAAGGTGGTTGCAAGCTGCCAGACATGGGTGCTAGGAGCAGAACCCAGGTCCTCTGGAAGAGCAGTACACTCTTAACCACTGAGACGTCTCTCTAGCCCTATTTCCTTTTATGAGAGAAAGAAAATTGTGAATACCTCCTATCGCATAGAATCTATAAAACAACATGAGTTTTCTCCGTGTATCTTAAAATGTTGAGAGGTGTGCTAGCTTGAATTGTCTCAAACTAATTACTTTAAATAGCAATCTATGGTAATGTAATAAATGAATGTTCTGCAGAGGTTCTGATTGTCCGTTATGATGTCATTATGCCTGCAAAGCAAACAGTTAACCACCAACAAAAGTAGTTTGAGGGATTTGGTCCATGTGAGTTCTGAAGCAAACGGTACTTCCAGATGTGTATTGAGCTTTCCACCACACTTAATGCATCAGCTGCTCCAGCAGAGACACCAAAGCATTTGTGTGTTCAAAGTCTTGCATGGGTGTTTCTAGCATATGAGCAGCCAGGCTTCTTGGTCCCCAACACACTTACCCAACAAAGAGATGGCTATGTGATCTGCCAGTGTCTGAACTGTCTTTGGTAATGTACCCAGTAGTCACCATCATCAGGGATCATTATCAGTCTAGGACAATTTCTCCTATCACTGTTATGATCCCTTTCCATCTGTAATTGGGGGCCCTCTTATCTTCAGATTCTCCCTCACTGTGTGCATAAGAGGACAACCCATCTGTGCGTGCCTGTGTGCATAAGTGTGTGTGTATGTGTGTGTGTGCATATGTGTGTGGGAAGTCTGTCTGTCTATGTCTGTGTATGTGTATGTGTGTGATATGTCTGTGTCTATGTGTATGTGCATGTGTGTGTGTGGTATGTCTGTCTGTGTCTGCGTGTGTGTACATATGTGTGTGGTATGTCTGTCTGTGTATGTATGATTGGTATGTTTATGTGTGTGTGTGATATGTCTGTGTGTGCATGGTATGTCTGTGTGTGTGTCTCTGTGTATGTATATGTGGTATGTCTGGCTGTCTGTGTATGTGGTATGTCTGTGTCTGTGGGGGGGCACACATGCATACACATATGTACATACGCATGTTCTAGGGGATCAAACTCAGGACCTCCCTATCCCAAGCATTTACTCAGCTACTTCTTCAGAGCTCAGCACAGCTTCATGGTTCAGTCCCCCATTTCTCTCCTTGTCACAAAGATCTAGTTTTCCCCCCTACCACGTACAACTTTTTCTCTCCTAGATGTACCAGTGAGGGGACCCAGCATGTTATGTGGGCAGAGGCCTGCTCTCTGCACAGGCCATTACAGCTACATCAAGGAGTATACATTTTTAGAGCCTTCCCCGCGAGACTCAATACGCAAAGGCATGCATAGTATCCACACCTCATAGAGACAGAATTTTGGTCCACAGCCTGCATCAGTACAATCCCAGTAAACCAACCTGCTAACTCCAGTAAGCATTCCAAAACTACCTGTGGCGGTGAGTCCAGGGAGCCTGTGGTCATCGGCCCTACACTGCCAAGACTTTGTTAGTAACCCATACCTGCCTAGAATTTGCTCCATCCACTGGAGAAAGACAAATATGTACCTCTATAGAATCACATGAGATGCTGCCTTTAATCTAGTTACCCTGCCTGCTACCTTCCCCATGCTATCAGATACCAAAAAAAAAAAGACCTTCCTTTCTATCTCCAATTTAAAATCTTCCCATTTTACGACATCAGCCAAATGTACTAGCTTCAGAGTCCTCTTTCATCTGTCCAGATATCCCCAGCTTGTGCTTGTGTAGGTCATCTTCATTTATTTCCACAAAGACGAAATAGAACTGTGTGTGTGTAAAAAGCACACTGACTTGTTTTTTCAAGTCAGAAATGCTAAGTTTTTAGGGGCCTGTGAGATGCACAAGGAAAGAGTATAGCAGTGGCGTGTGTGTGTGTGTGTGTGTGTGTGTGTGTGTGTGTGTGTGTGTGTGTGTGTGTGTGTGAATGTGGCTTGTGGTTAACCATGGGTACAGACTGCCTCCGTTCAAGTCCTGGCTCTGTCACTTCAGAATGTTTGGACATGGGCAAGTGACCTCACAGTTTGTAACCCAGTGTCCTTTCCTGCAGATACACGTTCAGTGCTGACAGCACCTGAACCATAGGGGATGACTATACAGAGTTTAATGATGGAGAGAAAGATGACGAGGAGACAGAAAAGGAGCCAGACTTCCTGGAAAGCAGTGAGGACCAGGGCCTGAGTGGAGACTGCTCCCTTTAAATAGGAAGCACGTCTTCCATCCTCATAGCCTCCAGAGACTGACATCATTCATCTGACATGATCTAAGCCCTTGCGCACCTGCACATGGAACCAAAAGTATTTTGTTTTAAAAAATGCAGTCATCCTCAGAAATCTACAGACACAAATACTACCTATGTCATGATCTAGTTCAAATATGGAAATAATCTGATAGGGAAGGAATCTTATCTCTCAAAGGCAGGCTGGAAATTCTTTTCCAGAAGTCAGAGCCAAGTATCCTATTCTGAGATGTTTGCTGAAGGGTCATATTGTAAGGTATAGTTTAAAATCACCAAATAAGTTGTTTAGGTGCTGGGCATGGAACCAAGGCCTTCCTCGTGCTAAGCAAGCATTCTGCTTCTGAACAACTATCCTTAGCTCACTCCCAAAGCAAGTTTGCACAAAGGTTAGAGTTTCAGAACGTGCAAGCATATTGTTTACCAGTCACAAAGAAATGTTTTGCTCATAGGGCTGCTATTCTTAGTAAAAAAAATCACCATTTCAGATAAAGCTGTTTAAAAATACTCGTGTTTACTTCCAATTAACATTAACTGTGGAGGCCTGAGGTGTTAAACCTAACCCCAAAGAGAACACTTGCCCTTAACAAAGCAGACATGTTTGTCATTATATTACCACTTCCAACACACAGTTGCTCACTTTACCAAATCTGCATAAAATGGATTTTTGAAGATAACTTTCTAGACTAATATAAAGAGGCTTTCTTTATAATTTTATTGTACCAGATTTGGCAAATAAGAAAACTGGTAGTCACATTCACTGCAAACAAGTTTCCCTTGTAGATTATTGAAGACTCATTGAAAACACTGAAGTAAGCTATGCAAGCCTGATGTCCATCCCAGGATCCCATAGAAGGAGAGAACTGGCTACCAAAAGTTGTCCTCCTCTGGATGCCACAGGAGTATGTGCACGAGTGAGCACACACACACACACACACACACACACACACACACACACACACACAAGAAAATGCCAAAGGGGGCTGGAGAGATGGCTCAGCAGTTAAGAGCACTGGCTACTCTTCCAGAGGACCCGGGTTCAACACACATGGCAGCTCGTACCTGTCTGTAACACCCTCACTCACATAGACATACATGCAGTCAAAACATCAATGAGTATAAAAGAAAAAACTTTTAAAAAGGAAAACACCAAAAAATAGATATCTTAAAGTTTAAAAAGTACAAATAGTTTGCTTCTTGTTTGTTTTTGAGACAGAGTCCCAAGCCAGTCAGGAACTCTAGGAAGAGGATGGCCTTGAACACCCGATCCTCGTACTTCACCTCCCCATGGTTTGCACCACCACGGTCTGTTTTATTCCATTCTAGGGAATCGAACCTACAGCTTCGTACATGCTTAGATCATGACTCTAGCAACTGAGTCACATCTCTCATTCTCTAAATAATGTTTGAATATTAAAATAATCTAGTCACTTTTTGTAAAACCAGTAGACATCACTCACATATGATACCATTTGCATATTCATACGCACATCCCAAAGCGAGTGCAACAGGAAAATCTTACAAGCGCGAGACGCCTTTTCCATACCCAACTTCCTGAATCCCCCAGCTTGATACAGCAGTGCCCAAAGTGTCAGAGAGGGAAGAGAAGGGAGTGGCAGGTCTCTGGGTTAGCTAGGTCCCTTGCAGGGAGGACAGGCAGATCTGGGTCGCACTCACCCAGGCCGCGCCAGCCCAGCGGGCCGTCACAGCTGTCCAGGATCGCGCACAGCTCGCCCAGAAGCGTGGGCGGCAGGTCGAACAGCAGCGTGTGCGCCGACAGCGCGCCACGGCTCCCGCACAGGCCTGCCATCGCCGGGACCCCACGCGGCGCAGCAGGGATGTCGCCGCTGCTGCCACCTCCTTACACAACCGCGGAAATCCAGTTCCACGACGGCTGCCCGGAGCTTGCAACACGCCGCGCCCCGGCCCTCGCAGGGCGGGTGCCACGTGACGCAGGGAGCCGCTCCCCAGGGATGCCCCTGCAAAGACCTGGGCCTCCTCTGCCCCCTGCCCCGGCCCCGGCCCTGCGCCCCGCCCCCTGTCCTCGCGTTTTGCATGCTTCTGTCAGCCCTTGGGATGTGACCCAGACCGATGAGACCAGCCAAGAAAGTGAGGGCGGGAAACAGCGGCAGGAATCCGGGAAAGCCACCACCCCTCCGCTGCCCTGGCATGGGCGGCCTCCTGGCCAGGATGGACGTGAAGGTCTTCGTTACTTCTTTTAAAGTTTCGTTTTGTCCCGTCCGGAAAGAAATACATACTCACTAAGAAACACGTTTCCCTCTCCCGTTTTAGCCAAATAAATTTAAACGGAAGAAAACGTGGACACACTGCGGGGGTGTGGGATGCAGGGGGAAATCACAAAAAACAGGCTAACCCAGGGCAAAACTGCTCATCCTTGCGGTCGAAGGCAGCCGCTGCCACAGTGCCACTCGGTTTTACTTCATTGTCCTTTTCCTTCCTCAGAGTGCATCACCGAGCTTACAACATGGAGTTTAAGCAACCCCGGCCGTTGTTTTGAAATATTCTACCGTTTACACTGTAATGGCCCACCGCAGGAACGGTACGGATGCTACTGACAAAAGAGGTCTTCAAAGCGGGTGGGGAAATGTCAGCTCTGAGGCTGGGGATGGGACAGTGACATCGGCTGAAAAACAAGTTGTTGCAAACCTCTCAGATCTTACTCTTTGGGAACAGCTCCCCCTGGGGTTCAGCAGACATGGTGCAGGGGCATGCAGCACCGCTGCGTGAATTCCCAAAGAATAGTAGTATTCCGTAAAAACATACGTGAAAACTGATAAAAGTAGAGCTGTTTGAAAGAAACTTCTGAAGTCTCTTCATTCTAATGACCACGGGTTTATCAAAATGCAAACTTGAAAGGGTCTCTATGTCACTATGCTGAGCAACAGAGGGAAGAGGGAGTACTATACTGGGTACCCTTTTGGCTTTCTAGGATAAAGAAAACCAGGTGTCTCAACAAGCACACCTGGACGGGAAATCACTATGTGTACGTGTGGTAGACTTCTGACAAAATGCCCAACAGAGCGGCTTAAAATGAAGGGGGGGGGGCTTGTTTGGCTCAGAGCTTCGGTTCGTGGTTGCTAGACCTCTGTGTCTTTTGGGGTCCTATGAGAAGTCAAAGCATCATGATGGGAGTATGTGCTTCAGGAGGATGCTAACTTCATGCTGTCTGGGAAGCAGAGAGGGGGGTGGGGGAGGAGGAGGGGAGGGGACGAGGAAGGGGAAGGGGGAGGGAACTAGAAAAGAGGGAGAGAGGGAGGGGGGCTAGGGTGCTAAAATTCCCTTCAAGGAACCCTATTTCTTAGGTGAGAAACCAAGCTTTTATATAAGGGCCTTCAGAGGACATTTAAAATCTTCACCATGACAATAACAGGAGAACTCAGAAATACTCATCATCAGATCTTCTAATCTACCTCGAGACAAGGAGAAAGAAATTAGGGATGACAAGATATCTGCTTCACAGTCACACCTCCAGTGGCACAATCCATCCATGAAGTTAAATGAGCTAGTTGCCTCTAACACTGCCACCGGCTAGGAACGCATGAACTTTTAGTGGTTCTTCCTATTCAAGACATAATACACACTTCTCCCATCTCTAGTGGTGAACTGTCTGTACCCCTCCCTGAATCCCATCATTTACAGACACGATGAATCCTAGCCCTTTCCCTGTAACTGAAAGGAGTAGGGGTAGTTGTTGTCATTTATCTCTGTGATTTTAACTATTTGTCACTCTACTGGCTCATCTCCACCAAAGTATAAACACAATACTATTCCTTTCACCTTCAAAACAAAGTGTCTTCCTGGCGGAGTTGAAAATTCTCACCACCTCCAGCCTTTCTCTTACCCTACCCTCAGCAGAATGACTTTACCCTGCTCAAAGAGTTCTCTTGAGGGCTACCCATGTCCACAACATTGGTGCTATCATCCTCTGAACAGTTTCCATCCTTACCTGTTGGTATCAATAGAAAAACAAAGACTGAAGAAGCATGCTGTAATGAGCTGGTAGAACTTAATTCTACAGAAGAGAAGAGCTCAGCTTCCTCGCTTGCCTCCTGTCTTCCACGCAAGCTGCTTGATGCTCACACGGGGATGCTATTAGTCATGTTACAATGCAATCAGTAGGTTCTTTTTGAGGCTGGCCAGATGTGGCTCTGTTGGGCCTAAGAAAGGCTTGGATGCGAGGCCCAGTGTAAGCTCCTGAGCCTGACTTGAGTTTTGGGCTCGGATGTGAGGCCCAGTGTGTAAGCTCCTGAGCCTGACTTGAGTTTAGGGCTCAGATTTGAGGCCCAGTGTGTAAGCTCCTGAGCCTGACTTGAGTTTAGGGCTCAGATGTGAGGCCCAGTGTAACCTCTTGAGCCTGGCTAGAGTTTAGTGACCTGTCTCTAACCTGTAACCTCCACATGGGGGTGGCTCAGCCAGATCTGATGGAAGATTGCCCCCTTCCTAACTACCTGCCTGCTTGGTGGAATACTATTGGCCCTTAACTCCTCACGTCACCTTACCCTATTCCAAGATTCCCATCCCCTACCTCAGTCCTATATAAATTCCTGTGTGTTGGAATAAATTGAGATCCTGCTTCGACAGACTCCGGACTCAGTGTAGTTTTTTCTCCCTAGTAACTAATGGGGGGAGGGTCTGAGTCGTCGACACTCACCATCCTGCTCAGCCCCCAGGAAGAGGCTGGCTGGAAGGGCCCTTCCCGCGCCCCCCCCCCGCGCGCCCCCCTCCCGCTCTACCTGCAGGGAGGACCCTGCATGGCTCCTTGATATTAGATCTTCAGATTCCAAAACTGTGAGCTAGGAAAACCTCTGTAGTTACAGAGTGGCCCAGTTGGAAACACAACGAAAACTAAGATATTCATTGTATGCTTGGGTGACATAGGACCCCCTCTGTCTTCAATTTGTTTCCTGTTTCTATGATAACATACCTCCAAAAGGGGAAACTTAAGGTAGAAAGGTTTAGCCCACAATTCCAGGCCACGGTCCGTCTTTTTAAGACAGTAAAAGTAGCAGGAACTTGAATCAGCTAGTTACATTCCCAGTAATGGATGGAGAACAGGGCTGCAGAAATGGTTCATCAGTTAAGCAGACTGACTGCTCTTTCAGGAGACCCAGGTTTGGCTCCCAGAAATCACATAGCCGCTCACAACCACCCATAACTCCACAGCGTGCAGACATATATGTAGGCAAATATGTAAAATTATTTTTAAAAAGAAAGAGTAGAGAGCAATGAATTAACACATGGGTATCAGTGTTCATCCGGCTTTCTCCGTTCATACAGTTCAGGATTCTGTTCCCAGGTGATAGTATCAACTTATCAGTTAATTAGCCATTGCACTCTGCAAATCTCCTGATTCATTAGAATGATTCACAAGACTCAGGAGAGGTTTGTGCAGTCATCCCTCAATATGTTTGCCAGGTATTAGTCCCAAGATTCAGTTACTGAGCATGTGACTGGACTAAATAATTGCGGGAGGGTGTGGCTGATGGTTCCATCGTGTTAGTCATGCTCTTAGTCACTCAGGCACAACTATTGTCTTTCTCAAAGTGCCTATGAACTCACCACAGATCACCTCTGGGATCAGATTCAAATGTGATAGAACAGCTAATTATAAACAACAAAAGAAAACCCATCCTTCCAAACATTCCAGGAGAGGGGGAAATGGATTGTTTATTATATCATACACTCACAACCACACAAGGATAGCATCAATGCTACCTGTCTTTTATAGAGAAGAATTGAAGCCTACTGACCCACAAACTATGGGGCTTTTCCTGCTCAGTTTTCTCCCAATTCTTCTCTCCAAACCTATCCACGTTAAAGTCTTTGGGAGCTCTCCATTACAGAACAGAGTCTCGCTGCAAAGTACTTAAGAGTCTATTTCACAATGGTTGTGTTCATTCTATCATCTCTTTCATACCTCCCCTTCCCCTCCCTCCCTCTGACGATCTCCCTTGACACTTGACAATGTCGGTCCCTTAGTTTTAACTTTTGATATTTAGTTATGCTTTTTCTGACCACTGAGAGTAAGCATATTTCCATATTTGTGTTTGGCTTCTTTCTATGCACATGTGTTACCTGATCCAGTCTCTTGTCCATTTTCCTATTTGCTGCTTGCTTTACCGGATGAGTCTGGATTTCCAGTCATTGTTTGTGTGGCATGAAATGGAAGCTTTATGTAGATATGTGTATTAAAATATTTCCTATTCTGTGGTTTGTTCTTTACTCATTAATGATAAAATTTAACTACTAGGTGCTTTTTATTCTACTAGGTGCACTTAATGTTTATATAGTTTGCAAATCTTCTTAGATTTACTAATATTTTGTCAGTTTTAAGAGATTATTTTCATGACTTTTACTGTTTTGTCTTTCACATTTAGGGGCACAATCTAGCTAGCATTACTTCTTTCTGAATGATATGCTGGTGATACTTTAGGTAATACAAAGGTAGGTGTCCAGCTCATCTCCAGCGTATCCTCTACAATAAATACTATTTTTATTACTTTTTTGAGGTGAATAGCAGTTTCTGAAGCATTTAAAAAGTAACAAGAGGTAAGCATTTTTCATTCTTGTCATCATGGAACATTTTTGAGAAAAGATTCCTGAAAATAATATGTATTTAGTTTTAGAATAGACCATTTTTCAATTATTTTAAATCCTACTTGCCTAGTCTTGAAAGCGTGGGCTTTGGTTAAAACAAAAAATTTGGAGAATATGTGTTAAGTCAAAATAAACCCATCAAAAAAAATTTCGAGTGGGTCATTTGTGGTGGCACTTTAATCCGAGCACTCAGGAGGCAGAGGCAGATGGATCTCTGTGAGTTCAAAACCAGCCTGGTCTACACATCGCATTTTAGGCCAGCTAGCTATTTATTGAGAGTCTTTATTTGGAAAACACGTGCGCGCGAGTTATGATAGATGAATCTTTCAACCGAGTTTAGCACTTGTTCCGGGAAAGGCCCGGAGAAACTTGTTTGCGGAAAAATCCTAGAAAAGTTTCCCTTGGATGTCACAGGAGGGAGTAGCCCGCCTCCTCCTACCGGGAAGCAATCTCCGAGATGATCGACTGGTTCGGCGCTCGCCCCAGCGAGGCAGTTCGGCTAGTTCTGCCTGGAGGCCATCCCGGAAGTGGGAGAAGGCGGTTGTGGTCAGTGCGGGCTCCCTCCTCGGCCAGGCTCTGCGGGGTGCTGCTGGCGACATGGCCGACACCGACCCGCGCTATCCCCGCTCCTCTATCGAAGATGACTTCAACTACGGCAGCTGCGTGGCCTCGGCCAGCGTGCACATCCGCATGGGTATGTGGAAAGGGGACCAGGGGACCAAGTGACCTGAGCTCAGCTGGGAGGGCCTCTCGCCAGTGCCAGCACTTCTCAGCCTTCCCCTGCGACAGGACCGACACCAAGGGGTCGCGACCCTCAGGTTGAGAACGGCTGGCAGATGCCCCAATGCTGCGTGACCTTTTAATACAGCTCTTTATGATGTATTATAAAGACACTATAACAGTCTTTGTTGCTGTAACTGTATTTTTTACTAGTTATCAATTGTAATGTAAATATCAGATATGCAGGATAGCTTATAGGCAATCCCTGTGAAAGGGTCATTCAACTCCCAAAGGGGTCGAGACCCACAGGTTGAGAACCACTGGCCAATGTCCTTATTGTTTATTTCCCTGAGCCAAGAGCTGATGGCAATGAGACTTTATCTCGGTCATTAATTTCTCATACATTTAAAAAGTAATGACTTAGAAGTTTCCAAGATCAATACATAATGTCCTGGCAACACAAAGTAATTATGCACTATGGTGTGCAAAGTTACTATTTTTACGTTAAGCTGCTGCGTGTCCTGTAAGGAAGCGGAACTCGTTCACCGCAGGTCAGCTGTTTACAGAAGCTGCCCCAGATTCAACCTGCCTGGGCAGCTGAAACCGGTTCTGGAAAAAAGGAATTTTGCAGGTGGTTCTAGCACATCCTCTCAGTGCCTACCTAGCACAATGTTCCTAGAATGAGTTTTGAAATTACTTTGACAAATGAGCTCAGCTTTTAAAATATATTAACTATGACAAAGTACTTGTAGGAGAAAAGTTGCCACCCTAACCACTTTGGAGGTACAGGGTTAAGTTTGGTCACACTGTTGTGGTACCTGCCTTTCAAAGCAAAAGTGAAACCATCCATTAAACAACTTGGTGTTGCCCACCTCCTCTGCCCTTGACAACCACCATTCTATTTCCAGTCTTTATGAAGCTATTAGAAATGCCTCAGTAAAAAGACATCACACAGTTCAGCCTTTGTAACTGGCCTGTTTCTAACAGCACAACGTCTTAAAGGTGCGTCCATGTCATAGCGTCTGTACGTCTGTCCCACTTTCATTCGTCCTTTCTTTTGTGCCTGTTCCAGAATGTTGAGATTGTGTGGCATGGTGGCTTTTCCCTGCTCTGATATGCATTATTCACTTGGTACCTCGGTGCCTGTTTAAGATTCCCCACCTCCTGTCTTCCATGACCTGATAGCTCATTTGCCACTAGGGAATCTTCCGTTTCCGTGTGTGCCAGTGTGCATTCTCTTATCAGCTGAAGCTCGGCCTCTTGGCTGCTTGTACCTGTGGGCCGCTACAGATAAAACTGTTTTGTAAACGCCCGCGTGCAGGGTTTTGTGTGTACATAGTTTCAACTCGTTTGGCTAAGTAAGAAGGTGCATGAGAACTGGGTCATCCACAGGAATGTGTTTTCTACTGTAAGAAACCGATAGACTGTGACCCTGCATTGCTAACAACAAGCAATGAAAGTTCTTAACCGTCCTTGCCAGAATTTGCTTCCCTCCCTATCTTGGATTGGGGCCATTTTAATAGATCCTCATTACTTATTTTGCCTGCTGGGTATATCTTTTGCAAATATTTCCTCGAAGTCTGTAGCTTGTCCTTTCATTCTCTTGATGGTACCCACTTAAAAAAAAGACTTTATTGTGCGTGCGTTTTGATAATGTGTTTTGATCAAATTGATCCCCAGTTTCCAACCCCGTCAGTTCCTCCCTATCCCTGCGCTGCTTTTCCCTCTCAACTGCGTGTGTTCCTTTTTTTAAAAAAACCCACTGAATCCAGTGAGTGCTGCCTGTGTGTGCCTGGGAATGGGGCATGCGCTGACGCAGGGGAAGCCACATCCCTGAAGACAACTGGTTGCCACTCCCGGTCTTAGTCATGCTGTATTGCTGTGAGGAGACACTGTGACCACAGCAACTCTCATGAGAAAGCATGTGATTGGGGCTGGCTTGCATTTCAGAGACTTAGTTCGTTATCCCCACGGCGGGGGAGCATGGCAGCATGCGGGCAGAAGCTGGAATCTGCTTCCTGATTCACAGCCAGAGAGACACTGGACCCGGCATGGGCTTTTTAAAACCTCCAAGCCCACCCCCAGTGATGCACTTTCTCCAAGGCCACACCTCCTAATCCTTCTAATCCTTTCCAGTAGTACCATCCCTTGGTTACTAAGCATTCAAATATGTGAGCCTATGGGGGCCATTCTTATTCAAACCACCACACTCCCCCTGTTGCCGTCAAATGCCAATAGCTTCTGTAATGAACCATCTGAATCACTGCTTTTGAATTTCAGTATTTCACCTTTAGTCAGTAGTTTTCATTTATTTTTTGAAATTGTCATCCATGTATATAATAATCCTATCCAGCACCACTGTCTCAACACCCCTTTCTCACCTTCATGTCCTTTTGTTTGTTTCTTATTCTACTGAATCCAGTTAGCGATGCCCACATTTGCATGAGAATGGGGCTAGAGCATCTTACTAGCAGCCAGGAAAGAAAAATGACTCCCACTTTTCCCAGAAGCCATCAATGAAGACCAGACCCTCACCTAGCCCCCTGCTTTGGCAGCCATGACAGACTGCAGAAAAGACCCAGCAAGATGTGCTAAGTTCTTGACCTTGCCTGACCTTCCAGATACCCTCCACGTGGCAAGGAACCATTCAGAAGTTAGCTGGTGGGCTCCGGATGTGCTTTACAGTAACAGTGGAGTGCAGAGCTTAGCAACCGCCCTGGGAGGGCCTCTGAGCATAGCAACCATTCCCAACCAGTCAACACAGGACAGGTCGCCCAAGACCGGAAGTGCACCAATCCTGAGACTGTTGCAGACCCCCCCAGACACTCCCCTTGCTCTACCCATGCCTCACAGTCTCACCAGGTCCTTCTCCCTCCACCCTCCATGTTGAACAGACAGAGGACCTGAGCTAATAGTTAACTTGTTAAATAAAAGACTCTTGGCTTATGCATCGGATAGGATCTCTTGGTGATTTGGGGGTTTAGAATTTGGGCACACCAATCAACTACTCTTTGCTCCTTAGGAGGAGTGAGGCATCATGAGCCCCGCCCCCCACATTCCAATTTGACTGGCTTGATCTTGTGCAAGTCTCATGCAGGGAACCATGGATACTGTGTGTAAAGGGAAACCTTCCTGCCAGCCTGGTTCCAGAGCCACATCAGTCCCAAATAGCACACAGGAGGCTATATTAATTATGAAGCTGTTGGTCTTGCTTATTTCTTACTGGCTAGCTCTGACTTAAGTATTTACCCCATAATTGTTAATCTAAGTATTTCTCTTACCGGAGAAATTTCCAGACTTCCTACCCCATGGCGGTTACATCTCGACTTCCTGTGTTTCTCCTTCCCAGAGTCCTCCTGGACTCCTAGTCCCACCTATCTTGGTTCCCTATTGGCCAACAGTGCTTTATTGGCTTTATTGACATATACACAGGACTTCCTCCATCAACTGGGAGTTCATGAGTGCAGCAGCTGGGCCGTGTCTTGGAGAAAAGGTTTCATAGGGTTGCTCACCATCTTCCTAGCTCTTACATTCTTTCCATCTCTCCTTATTGTTCCTGAGCCTTAGCAGGGAATAGAGGAGTTGAAATAGATAGCCCTTTTAGGGGAGAAAGGGGTAGAGATGAGGGAAGAGGGAGAGAATACTTGTCCTAACAGTCACATGTTCTCAGTACCTGGAGTGTGACTTAACCTGTGGCCTTTATCATGGTGAGTTAGTCTCTTTTGGTTCCTAGTTAACTTTTTTAAAGTCACAAATCATTGTAGAATTTTGTCAAATGCTTCTTCTGTAGTTGACAATGACTGCATTTCCTCTCCTGTCTATTGTTCCATAAATGTGGTGTATAACGTTTGATCTATGTTCACATATTGAACCATCTCCTGCCATTCCAGGAGTAAATCCCACTTAGTCGTGTGTGATGCGTGTACCGTGGACTTTTCTTTGCTAGTTTTGTTGTTCGGGAATATCGTTTCAGTATTCAGCAGGCGTATTATGCTGTAGTTGTGTTGTGTCTTTCCCTCTGCTGTCAGGACATTGCTGCCCTTATAGATATGTTTGCAACAAGAAGAGAGATGGTCCATGTAGCAAGTGCTGGGCGTGGGCAGGGCTGAAAGTTTCCTGCTGGTCCCAGAAATGATTACATGAGACAATGGATCTCTTCAGGGAAGGCCAGGACAGAAGATGACAGATAGCACAGGGAGCTGTTTCTTAGAGGTGGTTCTGAGAGTGTCGATAGCAGCATCTGCTAGAGGCCTTGGTGAGACACAGTATGACATTAAGGACATTTAAATCACTATGATGTGTTTAATAAACACATCTGATTTTTCTTCAGCAACTCTGTACTAGATGCAAGGGTAGAAGTTTCACGGGTCGTATTGTTGTTCTTAAAACATTGACTTGTCCAGCACCCAAAATAATTCCTTTGCAACTGCTCAGCTAAATTCTAAAGTGCAAAATGCCAAGCCAGGAGGGGCTTTTGAGAGGAATCAACAGTCTGAAGAGTGCAATAACCTAGGGAGCTTTCAAGAGGAAGTGGGATTTCCATGGAGCCTGCCTTTTAAATGTGAGGTGACTTGTAGGGAGAGAGGAAATTTTTGATGAGTTGTTCAATACTGGGAACGACATACCAAATGCCACAGTGGGAAATGTACCTGTTTAAAGTGGCATTGGAAGATGGTATAGGGTTATAGGAAGAACCTGGACTTAAGGGTCTGACAATTCAGCACCGCTGGTTGGTAGTATGTTCAGTGAAGTCTCTGTGATCCCTACATCTTTATCTTTAAAGTAAACATGATTGCTGCAATCTAACAGGATGTTTTAAGGATCAGACAGTTATTTAAACATCAAAACTTACCTGATTTGGGCTAGAAACACTAATTCTGGTATTTTGGCATGGAACTAAAAACTAGGTTTCACAATCCCTAGAAGAACCATACCGTCTCTCTTTTTGAGTAAACTGTTTTTTTTAAATAGTTTTCTATTTAATTTATTTCTTTGTGGTGCACATGACTATAACAGTACTGATTTTGTGTATGAATAGCTAACTATGAAGGAACCTCTTAGTTCTGGTAACTGGGCTGATGACTAAGCTACTTGCATCTCTGTTCATTAGATTCTCAGCTGTTCCTTTAGCAGTTTTAAAAGGCTAAACAAAATGCTTCCTTTAAAAATAAACAAAGTAGCTATTTATGATGTATACATTTTCTGAAAGATACTTTGGGAATGCTGTACTTGTAATCAAGGTCCACTGGGAGAAAACAATGAACCCTAAAGATATAATGGAAAATTATATGAGAATCAATTTCTGAGTGTAGCATCCATCTTAGGTACTTCCATAGTGCTGAGCAGTCCATATAACTATGACCATAATGTACATACCCTCCATATTAGTGTGTAAAACTAGTCTGTCTTATCAGTATGCTGTATGTAGTTTGGAGAAATTGAGATGCTACTATTTTGTACACTCATCAACTCAATCTCATCTTTCACAGGTCACACTGTAAATTTTATATGTTCACTTACTGTATCTTACTTTTAAAAATAGCTGTCATACCACTGTATCAGGATCTTGTAAAATGTGGTGGTCTTCTGTAGTATATATTACCATAATTTACTTAACCATCATCTTGAGAGTTACCTTCCTTCAAATAGAGATAAAAGGTAGATGCATTTTAAGTTTGATTGATGTTATCACTGTTGACTGCCCAGCAGACAAAATAGAGGGTGCCTTTGTTGCACCCTTACCCATCGTTTTATAAAGCTGGCCATCTGGTAGATCAGGGAGTTACCATGTAATAAATATTTCCAGGTTCATGAGACACACAGCCTTGGTCCCATCTGTTCAAAAGCAGTTGCAGGGGCTATATAAAAGATGTCTGAGTCCCAAGAAAGCCTTACCCACAAAGCCAGGTGATGGGCTACACTTGGCTAGAGGGCCATAGTTTCTTTAGTCTTGGGGTGGGTTAAAAAAATGTTATCTTAGGCCAGATGTGGCCTACTCACCTATAATCCCAACATTTTGGAAGCTGAGGCAGGAGGATCGTGAGTTCGAGGCCAACCTGAGAGGGAACATGATTTTGTTTTGAGTTGCATTTCTTTGGCTGTGTGAGTAAACGTGAACATATTCCTTCTTGTAGAGGCTGGCCCTGTACTAGATGTTTATACATAGCAGTATATAGATGGCATGACAATACTCAACAATCAAGAATTGTCATTTGGATGGGAAAGGAGGTACTTGAGACCCTAAAGAAATGTACTTAAATATACATAAATGGGACAAGAGAAACCTAAGTGTGGCCATAAAACTATGGTTAGGGACTGGAGAGATGGCTCAGTAGTTAACAACACTGGCTGTCCTTCCAGAGGACCTGGGTTCGAGTCCCCACTGACAACCTCCTGTAACTGCAGTCCCATAGGATATAGCACCATCTTCTGTCCTCCTTTGGCATTGCATGCACATGATGCACGCATAACATTCATGCAGAACACCTACCTAAACACACAAACAAGCAAAAAGGTCCTGGTGACAGCTGTTTTAGTAATGGAGCAGCAAAGCAAATCAAGGAACTTTATATTCCTTTTAAGGAATTCCATCCTGAGGAAGCATTTATGTGGGTGTGGAAGGTAAAAATTTATGTCTAGCTATATTTTATTTCTGCTTTTCATATCATAAGTAGAACCATTTTGTAAAAATACTATATTTTTCTTTGCTGAATGCTCTGTGCACAAAAAGGCATTTGATAGTTTCTTTTTATTATGATAACTGAACCACTGATTTGAATTTTTAAGCTTATGGTCTTTGGAGGACTAGATACTCCTTCTAATTTTTAAACCCTCTAGGTTTAGTTACAGGTTTTATTACTTAGCTTAAGGTTAAAGAAAAAGAATGCTTTTGAAAATGTGGATTTTTCAGGCTGTGAGGTAGCTCATTGGGTAAAAGTGCTTGCCACCAAGACTGCTGATCTGCGTCAGATGCTTGGAGTTCACTTGGTGGAAGGAGGGGTCTGACCCTGGCAAGTTCTCCTCTTAGCTCCACATGTGAGCCGCGGCACATGCCCCTGTCACCCTAGAAAAAAACCTTAAACTTAATTTTTTCCAAGAAACTTGGTCCTGATAGAGGGACAAATATTCTGGAAAATAATCACGTGTTCTATTTTTCTCTTCTAGCCTTTCTCAGGAAGGTTTACAGCATCCTTTCTCTGCAAGTTCTCCTAACTACAGTGACCTCTGCCGTGTTCCTGTATTTTGAGTCTGTGCGGACATTTGTCCATGAAAGGTAAGAGAAGGGGACAATTGTGAATTGTTTACAGATATTTCATCCAGTGAATAGATTTCTTTTTGCTAACCTTTTTTTTTTGTTTGTTTTGTTTTTCGAGACAAGGTTTCTCTGTATTGTTTCGGAGGCTATCGGTCCAGCCCGGCCTCGAACTCACGGAGATCCGCCTGCCTCTGCCTCCCAAGTGCTGGGATTAAAGGCGTGCACCACCAACGCCCGGCTCTTTTTGCTAACCTTAAAGATTAAAAAAGTCCATCATCCAACTTCTATGATCCCATTTCATTTTTTACAAAGGAGAATATTTCACAACACACTGTTTTGCCTCATTTTAGCTTATAGTTTTCTGGAGTTAAACCATCCTTTCCTGGATTAAGAGTTTGTACTGTGGGCTGCTGAGGTGGCTGGCTCAGCCTAGAAAACCATGACAACCCTGCAGGACCCACAGGTAGAAAGAGAAAACTGACTCCCATAAGTCCTCTTCTGACCCCCAAACATGGGCACTGGCTCTCAAACACTCCTGCCCCTCCCCCTGCAACACACAAAATAAATAAGAATTTTTCTATATACAACGAAATTATTTCGTTTTATTGTATTTGATTTTACTGTCCATCTTGTTAGTGTCTTGCCTATGACTATACTTGCAAAATAAAGTCATATGAAGGATGTGAGGTCATGTTGATTTTGTTTCATTGATAGAATAATCTCTAGACCTAGCTAGAGGAACTGCACCCAGTTGATCAGCATAATTATTTAAGTGGCTAAAAATAATATGGCTTCTTTATTTGAAAGAAAATTAACAACTGTTTTCCAAGTAGACTGTCTCTCCTCCTCCTACCAAAGGAGAGTCTTATTTAAATTACAGCCCTGCGACAAATGCCCTAATAGAGAAATTTAATATCTGTTTATTGTATTTTAGTTAACAAAATACCATGCTAATTATAAGCATTACTCCACTGTGAGGGACATTAGTAAAAGAAAGATGGGTAGACAGCCCCTCCCACTCTCTTACGGCCCCTCCCACTCTCTTACAGCCCCTCCCACTCCCTTACAGCCCCTCCCACTCTCTTACAGCCCCCCCTTATAGCCACTCCCACTCTCATAAGTCACGCCCCATCTCATGCCCTTCTACTTTTCCTGTTAGAAAATAAGTTTTTTAATTTGGTATGGATCCAGATTTTTTCTTGTACTTTTTTTTTTTTTTTTGGCTTTTCGACACAGGATTTCTCTATGGCTTCGGAGGCTGTCCTAGAACTGGCTCTGTAGACCAGGCTGGTCTCGAATTTACAGAGATCCGCCTGCCTCTGCCTCCCGAGTGCTGGGATTAAAGGCGTGTGCCACCAACGCCTGGCTTTTTCTTATACTTTTACGAACATAGAAAATACATAGATTTTTTTAGTAAATTGTGTACCATTATCCCTGCTGTTTTTAGGCTTGACATGCTTTTTTTAATGTTGTGTCTTTCAGCCCTGCGTTAATTTTGGTGTTTGCCCTTGGATCCCTGGGCTTGATTTTTACGTTAACTTTGCACAGACACACGCATCCTCTGAACCTCTACCTGCTTTTTGCGTTTGTGAGTACTCTAATATTGGCTATGCCGTTAGCATTTAGCCTGAGCTTCCAAAATTGTTTAATTGTGTGTGTGCGCGCGCGTGTGTGTGTGTGTGTGTGTGTGTGTGTGTGTGTGTGTGCGTTACCAGTGGAGAATAAAATCGAACTTTGTGGTTTGCCTGTGCATAAGCTTTTGGGGATCAGAGGTTGGCACTGGTATCTTCCTCTTCCATTCCCCATTTCAGTGTTTAAGACAGGGTCTCTGTGAATTTGGATGTTCATTTCAGCTCTGCTTGCTGGGTGGTACGTCTCTGCCCTATAGCACTTGGGTCACAAACAAGTGCCACCACACCAGACCCTGGGCACCGGGGACCAGCACTCAGGTCCTCATGCTGGCACAGCAAGCACCTAACCCGCTGAGCCAGCTCCCCAGCCTGAGTTTGTAGTTAGAATATATTAGGAAATCACTTATAAACATATTCTCTTTTAGAACTTGTAACTCTTGTCTGCTTTGGTGGCTCTTCTGTCATTAGGATTTAGTGGCAAACACTGGAGTCACATGGCTTGGCTTCACAGCCCTCCACCTATGTGACATCTGGCAAAGCAGTTAGCCTTGTTGTAGGTAATTTTTCTCACACATGACATGGACATTGTAAGATATGTCATCCATGTGGCACTTTTTTCTGGAATGGGGGGAGGGTATATTGTGGCTTTAACTTAGAGAATATGGGCTCATATTCACTCTTTTGAGTTATTTTTATGTCTTCGCTCAGTTCTCTCTTAAAGGGCCATTTTGCTCAAATGATATGCTCTCCTAACTTGTTTGAAATCTACAGATGGGACAACCCAACATGAAGTTCTGTTCACTTGTTGAGACACTTGTAAAAGTTAAATCCCAGTTGACCTACAAACACTTCATCTTCACTTGAGTAAGATTGGCAAGGCTAGCCGGGCGGTGGTGGCGCACGCCTTTAATCCCAGCACTTGGGAGGCAGAGGCAGGTGGATCTCTGTGAGTTCGAGGCTGGGCTGGACTGATAGCCTCCAAAACAATACAGAGAAACCCTGTCTCGTAAAAACCAAAAAAAAAAAAAAGATTGGCAAGGCTCTGGGCATTTTTACATTATTTTGTCTCTTACCATGAGTATGGATTTTGGCCTTACAGTTTTTCTTCAGTACATTCCACACACAATATATGATCTAAAGTAAAGAACGTTTGTGAGTTCTGGAAATGAGTGTATTTTCAAATTATGCTGATGACTTTTAAAGTGGGGAGTTTATTCACTGGAGTCTGAAGCGCATGAGCTCCAGTCCGCACCGTCTCCAACAGGAAGTTTCTTTCCAGGGTGTAAGAGCTTCGAAGCCCAGCGACTCACAAGCCCCCCCCCCTCAGTTCTTAACACCTGGAGGAAGGTTCTAGAGGCGATGCTAGCACATAGCTGAGTGGCGGCTGTGGTCTCATCGCCACCTCTGGTCTGTCTCACGTGCCACTGCTCCCCGTCTCCTCAGTTTAACTGGATGGCCTGCCTCTGGCCCATGTAATTCTTTTTCCTATTGCCTTAGCCCCCGCTACCGTTGCTTTTTTTTCTCTTCAGATTGCTGTAAGAAACTACCTGACTTGTGCATGTCACAGTGTGGGTGCTGACTCGTACGCGGGGTCCAGTCCTTGTTCCACAGTGTAGATGCTGCACTGTGTGACAGTGAGGAAGCAAGCCAACAGGCAAAGCAAAGCCAGCGAGATGACTCAGTCAGTAGAGACGACCTGAGTTCAATTCCTACAGCCCATGTAAAAGTAAGAGTGAACCAACTCTGAGAAATTGTCCTCTGGCCTCCACTGGTGTGCTGTGGCGTGAATACCCTTCACATACACGTATCATGTATACTCATAATAATAATTTTAAAATGACTCTGCAGTGATGGCTCCGTGGTTGAGAGCACTGGCTACTCTTATAGAGGATCTGCCGTCAGCTCCCAGCACCCACGTGGCTCACAATTCTAGTTCATGTCTAGGGGATCTGACATCGGCTGCTCATCTCCAAATGTACACGGTGCACACAAACATAAGTACATATAGGCAAACAGTTACACAATAAGATAAAAATAAATCTTGAAAAAAAATCATGTTGGTCTTATAATCTGTTGCAGCCTCCTCTCAGAAAGACCAATTTCTTTGTAAAACAGACTAGACCCCTCCCCCTTTGCCCAGCAGAGAGAGCTCTCACTAGAAAACCATCAGCCACTGTTGTTAAGTGACCTGTTCATCCTGTGCTGAGCTAGAGTGGTTTAACAAATAAGGAAGTCCTTAAAACACTTCCTTCTCACTGCCCAGTGAGCTTGTGACACCGGCTTTTTTGTTGTTGTTGATTTTGTTTTTTCTTTTGTCCTTCTGCAGCAAAGTAAGAAAGGAAGGAAATTTTACCAGCTTTGTCAGTGTGTATGTGTGTGTAGTGTGTGTGTGGTATGTGTGTGTGTATGTGTGGTGTGTGTGGTGTGTGTGTGTAGAGTCCACTACTATTTCAGGGTGGTGGGCTGGTTTCGGTGTGACATTGTGTTCTCCTTGTCTGTAAACTGTTTACAGTGTCCTGCGTGCTTTGGGTACTTTAACGCAGGGTGAGGTTTCTGGTCATGCCACACATATCAACAGTGTAGTCCATTTCTCTGATCTGCCATTGATTCCCGGGAATCACCTGTCACTGAGGCACGGTACTCATTTTACTGCCTCCACATCTTTGTACAAGCCCCAATACTGGTTTTCTTCTGGTTCTGGGGACTGTTGGTTCTAGGTAGGATGGAATACAACTGCTTCCTTATCAATATAATTACACAGCCATTGCTGTTACTTCTGGCTTTGTCTTTGTGGTACAGCATATCAGACAGTTGATAAAATATAACTAGAGATGATATAATCAAGGAGAAAGAGAGGCTAGAATATAATTGATAGGAGAGTTATCCTGAGCTCAGCCACCCATGGATTCAGGCACTCCCAAGGTATTGCATAGTATAAGATGATAGCACATTGCCCTATCTTCATAGCATGCAGTTGAAATTCAGATGGATACAGTGCGGTGGGGGGCAAGCCATGTGCTTGCTCTTAGAGCATATTCCAGTGGCTGTGCACCACTCAGCCAATCTGACTTTGAATGCAGTCAGGTGATGAGACCTAGCTTCAAGGGAGGCTACAAATGTACTGTTTGTTTCATCAGAACAGGCAAGTGTCCAGGTACAAATCCTGTTTCTGGGGAAGAAAGACGTTTATTGCAAGGCTGTCTTAAGCTGACTCACCAAAGTACATAACAAAGTATCTTGCATTTCTTGTGTTTATTTGTATGAGGTGTTGAGGCTTTGCAAGGCATATACATGGTTTTGCAGTATCATTGATATTATCCGGCATGAGAAAATATAATTTTCTATGTTAATTCTACTATATAACCTTCCTGTTACAGATGAAAAATCTGGTTAAAGCTTAAAGAGGCACAGTGAGAATGTAAATCTTCACATTGCATTGAGACCTCACTTTCATTATAGTGGGATTATACTGTCCTGCCCTGTGTATGTCACAAGGGTTCCCTGAAGCTAATGAACCATTCCTATGGGCTCATACTGGACTGCAGAAGTGAGAGGGGGGGGGCAGTGTCCGTTTCTCATGCGTTCACTAATTAGTTTCTTTTCTTAGACACTGTTGGAAGCTCTGACTGTGGCAGTTGTTGGTAAGTCCTTCTGTGTGTCACAATTTTACTCTGGATAGAATCTTTTAGGTAACAAGGTATTTGGGGTTAAAGTTTAACATCGTGGCATGTTATATCAAAAACATGGCACAGAGTAAAGATTGCTGATAAGCAAAAGTCAAATATTTCTACTTTATATAGTTCAGCTGAGCTGGGAGGAAATGGAAAAGTTGAAGGCAAACAGACGAGTTGAGAATAGTTTTTTGTTTGACTTCCTGTTAACACAGACAAGACGCTAGAGTTGCTCTCCCCTGCTCCCAAGGACTCATCTGTCATACCTCACTCCCTCAGGACTGCCCCCACTGAATTGTGACTGCTTCACACATGTTCCCCTAAATGACACCACAGATACAGTCACTTCCTTTTCTGATTTCATGTGTGTGTTCCTGACCAAGTGCTGTTATAATTATTTGATGTACCTTAGTAGTGTCTCAAATTAACAATTAAGTGGATCACAATAAAATCCCAAGTGTTTGCAGATGGTTTACTGTTGGTGTCACAGAGGTCAGCATTGACTGTTGGAGTACCAGCCAGCCATTTGTCCTTATGAGACCACATTTATCCCTTCCTGTTTGTCATTGCTGCTTTTGACCATTTGATGCCAGTTTTGTTGAATCTGTATTGTTTGTACTCTACCACCCTTTTTAGAAGAGTCAGAATACAGGTAAGTACTAAGAAGTACCAAATTACATGGATTGGTAGCTTTTCAGCATAGAAAGGAAATGTCATTAGCTTGTCTGTAGTTCAGCCACTAATATTACTTACCATCATGGCCAACTGTCCCTTCCCCAGTGCCACCATACCATTAATGTAAGAAGTGTAAAACTGAGTATGATTGCTAGAACTAGAGTCAAAATGCATAGATGAAGTAATCTGGGAAGATTATTTTCCTTATGGATTGTACTATCCTATTCTATGTGATCAGAATGCCAAATTATTGGCAAGAAGTAAAAACAACTATGTGTTTTTCTATGTTCACCTCACAAATTCTGTAATGCCATAGCAGACATTCTAGTGATTTGTTAATAAAAATAACAAGTACAGTTCATCTTGGAAAAAAAAAACTTGAATTACTTAAGTGTGGGGTTCAAAGCACTTAATCCCCTTGCAGGAAGCTAAACTAACTTTCTGTGAAAACAGTAATAGTTTTCCATTACAGTGGCCATCACTGCTCAGGATCACTATTCTCTTGCCGAAGGGAATTTAGTGAGTTACACAGTAGTGTGCTCTAAGATGGTACAGGCTTAGCCAGCAATAAAAAGCTGGTAGAGATTGGCTTCTGTCCTATATAGAATGGGTAAGTGGCAGGCTGACTCAGACATCCTTAGTGCTTTCCTTGCACGGTTGCCTTGGATTAGGCTACTCAACTGATTCAGCTGTCTAGGTGAAAGACAGCTAGTGACCCAGGTCACTGTCATTCGTAACCATGGAAACAGCTACCAAGTCCCAGTTAAAGTGCAAATGGAGCCACTCCTGGATATCTATAGGGTATCTTAATAGTCTGGTTAACTCTATGATAATATGACCTACTTATTTTGTATGAATAACTATTTTGGAGCTTTTTAATTTTATAAGTGTGGTTTCACTGTATCAACATATTTAAGGCTGGGTGAAGAATTTTAATTGTTTTTATTGGTGAATAGGATAGAAGAAATTGAGAATGGGTGAGGACAAGAGAGTAGTAGAGTGAATATGATTAAATACATTTTGAACATGTGTGAAATTGCTACAGAGAAGCCCATTATTATGTATATATAATCAATACATGCAACAAAAACATTTTTAAAAACTAAAACATAAGAAAATGCTTGTTAATATTGGCAAGGCTCTTTGGTATTGTCTGTCTGTGCACGTTTAATCAGCTTCATTTTTGTTCATTTTTGCAGTTACTTTTTATAATGTGTACCTGGTTCTGCAAGCTTTCATACTGACTACTGCAGTCTTTCTTGGCTTGACTGCCTATACTCTACAGTCAAAGAGAGACTTCAGCAAATTTGGAGCAGGGTAAGTAGTAAGTCTTGTCTTACATGCTTCTTCAAGTTAGATTCTATCAACTGTCTGATACCACAAAGTCTATCACAGTCTCAGCAAATTTTTTTTTTTTTGGTTTTACGAGACAGGGTTTCTCTGTATTGTTTTGGAGGCTGTCGGTCCAGCCCTGCCTCGAACTCAGAGATCTGCCTGCCTCTGCCTCCCGAGTGTTGGGATTAAAGGCCACAGGCAGACTCTTCAGACAAGGGCAAAAGGGAGACACATTCTTCACCAAAGTGTCACAAGAATGATCTCTAGGCCACATAATAATTCTTCTCTGCTATAACCTCTTGAGCCAGCCCCCCCACAGTCCAAATCATTCTCAGCACCACTGTCTTCCATGCTCCTACTAGTATGGCCCATTAGACAGCACGAAAAGCATTTAACTGCTTTTCTAATCCACAGTTCCAACCAAGGTCCGTAGTCCTTCAAACAAAACCATGGTCAGGCCTGTCACAGCAATACTCCAGTCCCTGGTACCAACTTCTGTCTTAGTTATGTTTCTATTGCTGTGAAGAGACACCATGACCATGGCAACTCTTATAAAGGAAAATATTTAATTGAGGTGGCTCACTTACAGTTCAGAGGTTTAGTGCATTATCATCATGATAGCACATGGTGGTGTGCAGGCAGACATGGTACTGGAGAAAGAGCTGAGAATCCCACATCTTGTAGGCAACAGGAAGTAGTCTGAAACACTGAGCATGGCTTGTCTCACACACACACACACACACACACACACACATACACACATATGTGTGTATATGAGATCTCAAAACCCACCCTCACAATGACACAGTTCCCCAGTAAGGTCATATCTACCCAACAAAGCCACGTTTCCTAATACTGCCGCTCCCTATGAGATTATGGGGACCAGTTACATTCAAACTACCACAACCCCTAATTCCAGTTCCAGAGGACCTGATGCCGTCTTGTGACCTCTCCAGGTATCAGGCAGGCACATGGTACATATACATACATGCAGGCCAAACACTCATACACATAAAATAAAAAAAGTGTTTGTGTAAGTCACAATAATGTGAACTGTTAAAATTTTGAATTTTTCCAGGCTGTTTGCTGTCTTGTGGATTTTGTGCTTGGCCAGATTCTTGAAGGTGAGTTGTTTTATAACAGTTAACTCAAATATGATTCTGACTATGTCAACATATGTCAACTAAAACTACAGGAAAGTTGTTTATAAAGGGCACTTAGAATCAGCTAGAGGATTAATATACATGATTTATGGGATAATTTCAGTAAAAATCATGGTCTTCTATTAATCATTATTACTTATTGAGAAAAAGATGAATGCATAAGTACGTGGAATTGCACACAAAAAGGCCGCTACCTGTCCTACCACCCTCTAGGTGGCACATGTAATTCTGAAAAAGAGGGGGCTGATGCCTTTAAGCCTGACAGCCTGAGTTCCATCCCTGAAACCCACAGAGTGGAATTTGGGGTGGGAGGGTCCGAGTCTGGCAAGTTGTCCTCTGACCTCTACATTCTTGCCTGCTGGTTGTGGTATGCACAGTCTCCAATAAATAAGTAGATGTCATAAACTACTTAATTCTTAGCAAGTAATATTTTTACAGGGGGGGGGGTGGCGCATGCCTTTAATCCTAGCACTCAGGAGGCAGAGAGGCAGGCAAATCTGTGAGTTCGAGGCCATCCTGGCCCACAGAGTGAGTTCCAGGGCAGCCAGGACTACACAGAGTAACCCTGTCTTGAAAGACCAAAAAAGGAAAGAAAGAAAAGAAAAAGTAACCTTGTAAAACAGTCATGTTTAGAATACTACTATTGGAAGTCAATCGGATAATTGAAAGACATCTGCTTATCTACACATCCTTCTGTCAAGCAAACGTGGTCCTGTGTCTACTGCCTTCTTCCTGCCTGTGTCATTCACGCATCAGTGTTGTACGTCGTTGTTACGTATGCAGCTAGTTGTGGATTGCTGTGAAAGTAATTGAAGTAGGTCTAATGTGACTCCTAAATGTGAACTTATTTCTTTCATCCCTTGCTTGTAGATTTTTTTTCACAGTGAAACACTGGAATTGGTCTTGGCTTCTCTAGGCGCCCTTCTCTTCTGTGGATTCATCATCTATGACACACACTCGCTGATGCACAGGCTGTCTCCTGAAGAGTATGTATTAGCTGCCATCAATCTTTACTTGGACATTATCAATCTGTTCCTGCATCTGTTGAGGTTTCTGGAAGCAGTTAATAAAAAGTAATTGAACAGAACACAGACCATTGTATTATGTAAAAAGTTTGAATTACACTTAAGTATTAAAATCGGTCCTGATCTTTCTTGGCATTCTGTGTTCTTCTCCGTTTTAGAATCTCACTATTCTCTGTGTTATTTCATTTTCAGATCCTTGGCTTAGAATCTTGGATAAGAGATATTAACATTGTTTCATGCTTTTTTTGTAAATTGAGGCAGAGTCTCGCATAGTTCAATATGGCTTCTAACATATGATCTTGCTGTGTCTTTCCTATGTTCTGGGAATACAGTCATGTACCACCATGCCTGGCTTATTTATTAATCTTTTTAGTGCTAACTTAGCCATTACTAGCTGTTCATCTGTAATTCAAAATAATAAAATGAATAGATTTGGCTTTTTTTTTACATAAGTGTTTTGCATACACATATGTATGGGCACTCTGTGCATGTCTGGTGTTAGCAGGGACCAGAAGGAGATGTTACGTCACCTGGAGCTGGAGTTACAGGTAGTTGTGACGTGGAACCAGCACTGAAGGTCTCTAAGGAGTAGCAAGTGCTTCTCATAATCACTGAGTCTTTTCTCCAGCTCCACTGCTCCTGTCTTATAGTGCCTAGTTTATTAATGGAAAATCACTGGTGTCAAATACATTTGATAAGTGAATGGTGTATATACTTAATGGCAACACATTTTACAGTGTTAGTCCTTTTAGTTTTATTTTTTACAGTTGCAGTGGTATTCATATCCCTGAATGTGTCCTGTACCAAGCAATGAGAGTTTGCCAGACAGGAAATATAGCAACAAAAGAATGGATAGGTATAGGAGCATGGACAGCTTAAGTTTTTTATATCACATACAGGTAAACCTGTGTGCTTAATTACCAAGGGAGTAGAAAAGTAGGGCACAGAGAAACAGGTAACTCACCGTGCATAGGACAAAAGTAGGAGGAAGTGAGGAAAGCAGAAGGATCAGAGAACTTTTGGTTGCTGAATAGCTTGTGGACAAAGAGGTGTGGTAGGTGGGCACTGGAGAGATGGCTCAGTGGTTAAGAGCACTGACTGCTCATCCTGCTCAATTCCCAGCACCCACATGGCAGCTCACAGCTGTCTGTAATTCCCTTCCCAAGGGACACCCATGACAAAACGCCAATGCACAGAAAATTTAAAAAAAAACAAAGTTAATTTTAAAAAAGAAGTGCAGTGGGGCCAGGTAGTGGTGGCACACGCCTTTAGTCCCAGCACTCGGGAGGCAGAGGCAGGCGCATCTCTGTGAGTTCCTACAGCGCAAGTTCCAGGACAGCCAGGGCTACACAGAGAAACCCTGTCTCAGAAAACAGACAAACAAACAAAGAGATGCAGTGACCATGTTATCTGCCTTCAGTTCTCTGCAGAGCTCAGAGCTGGTTCTAGTCCATTTGATGTAGTTTCTGCGGGCTTCTGTCTGATCCCCTTCAGGCCTTTAGCTGTCACCTCTGTAGTTCAGAGTCCCCATATCTCAACCCTCTGGGAACTGAAAGTCACTGTGTGGATTGCAGAACTCTTTCTGTTCCTGGGGACTCAGGCATCCCATGGAAAGATCTGGGCAAATGCCAGTTGTGTCAAACACCTTTTAGATGATAAATCAGTTGTTTTCCTGTCAAGTATTCAGCATTACTATCTGTGCATGTAGTTCCAAAAGCTTGTTCCAACTCTTTTGATTTACCGTGTGTGTGTGTGTGTGTGTGTGTGTGTGTGTGTGTGTGTGTGTTTGTGTGTGTGTGAGAGAGAGAGAGAGAGAGAGAGAGAGAGAGAGAGAGAGAGAGAGAGAGAGAGAATACAGGTGTATGTAGGTGTCATTCCTCAACAACTCTTCTTCTTCTTTTTTTTTTAATAGACAAGGTCTCTCACTGGCTGGAATTTGTCTAATAGGCTGGCTGTGGAGCCCAAGGGACCCCAGTGCCTGTCTGCCCAGTGCTGGCCATTTTTTTTTCATGTGGGCTTTAGGGATCAAATTCAGATCCTCTAGGGTCTGTCCTCTCCAAAGCCTTATTCTCCCACTTTTCTGAAAGTGCCTGTTCTAGAGTTCATGCTTGAATGTTTGAATGAAGGTGGGAATTAATGATATCAAAACAAACAACAACAACAAAAATTCCTGCCATTTAGCTCCTAGAACTACTTGCTTTCAATTATTTAGTTCCCAATTCAGTTAAACGAGCATTGTAGTGCAATGCTGAATTGTGGAATGTATTTTAATACTATAATAGACTGTTGTTTCCTTTTGCCTGGTTTCTGTTCAAAACTCATAGCCTTTTGGTACATGAAACAAGCTGTCAATTTAGAGCATCATTAAGGGGGCTTTTTAAAAATCCAGTGTGCACTTACTGCCTTTGTTTTCAATGCCACGTGTATTTCGCCTACGGTAAAAAAAATTACAAAGTGTTGTACTATGCATGGTTTCTACAAGGAGACACAACTCTACTAGCAACCAAACAGGAATTTCATAAGCCATCATTAAAGATAATGTTTGAGGGTTAGAGACATAGTTCCGTGGTTAAGCGCACCTGCTGCTCTTGCAGGAGACCCAGGTTCAGTTCCCAATTCCCACAGCCAACTATAACTCCAGTTCTAGGGGATGAGATACCCTCTTCTGCCCCCCCACACCAGGCACACATGGTACACATACTGTGGTGGTTTGAAAGAAAATGCCCCCCAAAGGGAGTGGCAATATTAGAGTGGTCTTGTTGGAAGAAGTGTATTGGTGGGCTTTGAGGTCTCTTTTCCCTAGCTTTAATCAGTGTGACAGTCGGTCAGTGGACTTCCTGTCGCCTGCAAGATGCAGCACTCCCAGCTCCTGCACCGCAGCTGCCTCCACATGGCCAAGCTCCCTGCCTGAACCTCTGAAACCAGAAGCTACCCCAATTACCTTTTCTTTGTAAGAGTTGCCATGGTCGCCGGGCGTTGGTGGCACACGCCTTTAATCCCACTCAGGAGGCAGAGGCAGGCGGATCTCTGTGAGTTCGAGGCCAGCCTGGTCTACAGAGCCAATTCCAGGAGAGCCTCCAAAACAATGCAGAGAAATCCTGTCTCGGGGGGAAAAAAAAAAGAGTTGCCATGGTCAAGGTGTCTCCTCACAGCAATAGTAAACCCTAAGACACTTAATATCAGACAAAACACTCATACGCCATAAAAATAAATCCTTAAAGATAGGTCTGTGGAGCGGGGCATGGGTGGTGCACGCCTTTAATCCCAGCATTGGGGAGGCAGAGGCAGGTGGATCTCTGTGAGTTCGAGGCCAGCCTGATCTACACAGGGAGATCTAGGACAGCCTCCAAAGCTACACAGAGAAACCCTATCTCGAAAAACAAAGACAAAAAAAAAAGAAATTAAGAAAGAAAGAAAGAAAGAAAGAAAGAAAGAAAGAAAGAAAGAAAGAAAGAAAGAAAGAAAGGAAAGATAGTCCGGTGGTTGTGATATATGCTGTAGTCTGTATAAAACACTGCTTACACCCATGGATTGACTAGTCACCCTCTAGAGATCACTGAATGAGGTACTATCTAGGCCACCGATATCTTTTACAAATGTCGAAAGGCCTGTGTGTCCCCATGGCCTGTGTAATTAAAAGCATATGTAGAACCATATTTGTTTGTAGTCTCAGCCATCTCAGTCTTAGCTTTGTTATCTAACGTTTTGGACAGAGCAGCATTGGTTGAAATAGGTCGTTTGACACTTTAAATTCTTTACGATAGGGAAGGATTATTTCCTGCGTTTATATTGACAGCTTTGAAATATAATTGGCATGCAGTAAACTTAACACATTTAAACCGTACGCTTTGATATATTCCCACAGACGCGAACATCCTGGGATCCTCCAGGGAACGAAGAGTTCTTTAGGCTGCGAATAAAAAACCTCACTGAGGGCTGTAGGATAGGAAGCGCTGAGCAATCGCTTGGGTATCCCGTACTTGTGAGGTTGTCACAGGCAGGGCCACCGGCCGGGCATGGCCTATCAGGGGCTTTGAGAATGGCTTGATCTATAATCTGTCGCTCCCGACAGGAAATCCCTTCTGCTTTCTCCAATCACTACATTTTCTGTAGGAGATCATTAAAGCTTCACGAGCACAGAGAGCGGCGAGCGCTCCCGCAGGGCTGCCAAAGACCACGCCTCTCAGCATTCCCGGCATGCCGCGCCGGCCTTGGGCGGAAGGCGGAAGTACGGGGACTTCCGCTCGGCGTCCTACGCGTGCGGTGCGGTCGTGTTTGTGCGGTGAGTCGCGTGGGTCCGGGTCTTAGTTCTGCTGCGTGGAGGGTAAGCCTCAGACCGTCTCTCCGCTGCTGTCCCTGGCCTCGGCCTGGCGGGGCGGGGCCCGGGACCTGCACGGCGGCGCCAGGTTCCCCCGGGGCTGTGGCTAACCGTGCTCAGGCCGGCTTGGGCTCGCCCAGTTTTACTCAGCCGGCGGTTGCTGGCATATTCAGAGGATGCTCACCTCGCCAGCCCACGGTGCACGCAACTCGTGCCGTGTGCCAAGCAGTGGCCCCGGAGTCTGAGAGCAAGCCTGGAGGAGAGCACTTTGCAGCCGTAGGACGGGGAGCGTGAGGGGGCTCAGGTGGGCGTGCCGTGGGCTTTCCGCAGACGCCCCTGGAGAGAGCGAGATGAGAGTTGCCGGAGGCGCGGGGTGAAAGAATTCCTTAAAAAGCCGGGCATTGGTGGCGCACGCCTTTTATCCCGGCACCCGGGAGGCAGAGGCAGGCGGATCCCTGTGAGCTCCAGGACAGCCAGAGCTACACAGAGAAATCCTGCCTCGAAAAACAACAACAAAGGTAGAGAGAGCTGTGCTGTAAGCTTTGAAAACGTTCGCACTAACGACTTCGTGAAACATTCAGGACTGAGAGATGGAGCAGGAGAGCAGTAGGTAATTTTAAGGCAGTTTGTTAACCTTTGTTAACAGCTTTGCCAATGGAGTGATGTATAATTTGTCACTGGCCTATAAGGGCCTGACATCGTTTAATGTATTTAATCGCTGTGTGCTCTGCGTTGAGCCTCACATAAGCTAAGTACGAAGACATGGTAGATTATCTTCCATTTGTCCCAGTACTGAAGAGATCGCAGCCCGGCCTTTCCTGGATGTCCAAGTGTGTAAATAGTTAACTTTGTTTCGTTTGGGTTTTTGTGGACCGCCAGGTGAAGCATGGCCAAGAGCTTACGGAGTAAGTGGAAACGGAAGATGCGTGCTGAGAAGAGAAAGAAGAATGCCCCAAGAGAGCTCAACAGACTGAAAAGTATCCTCAAAGTTGACGGTGATACTTTAATGAAAGATGTCGAAGAAATAGCAACCGTTGTGGTACCCAAACAGCGCCAGGAGAAAACGCAGTGTGCCGAGGAAGAAGAAAAGGGTAAGCTTTGCTTCGTTTACGTCGTTAGAAAAGGAATCGGTTTTCTCTCGTGCCCCTCCCCCCTTTTCAAGATGTCTTCTTTCCATCTCTACTTGTCCCTAATCTCAGACCCAAATAGGGACAAGTGGCTGACTGTGGTGTCTATTAGACACCAAAGTGCCTGCTGGCTCCTCCCAGCTCACCCTGCTCCCCTAAGCATCTCATGGGCTTCCCTTCCCCATCTTCTCATTTCTGTACATATCACCCGGCCATTTCGTGCTCTCCCTCCCCTCCCTCTCTCCCTCTCCCCCTCCCTCTCTCCCCATCCCCCTCTCCCTCTCCCTGTCCCTCTCTTGGTCTTTCTGGCTCTCTCATCTGTCTTTCTCTGTCTTGGTCTCTGTGTGTGCCTGTGTCTGAGTCGTCATCGTGTCCCCCACTTTCTCCCCTTCTCCCCTCTCGCTGCTTTCTCTGTCTCCTTTGCTTCCTCTCTGGCTCTGCTTCCCCTCTCCCCATGACAGGGTTCAGTCTACTGGCCATGTTTAGTCTACCGCTTTCTCTCCCTGCTCTGGATTCTTCTAGACGCCTCTGGCTGTATGCTGCCTCATATCTACAATGAAAGATTTCCCTTCAGCCATACCATGGAGTGGTCATGTCTCACCTCACACATCTGAATGTATAGATGTGCCTGTCACGTCTTTATTCTTCAAAGCTCGCATTTCTATCTGAGATTCTGTGCTAAGCTGTTTCATAGTTCGTGCTTTGGAAAGAGCATGTCCGGGCTATTTCATGGATCTTCAGCAGTTCCGTAGCATCCTGAGTGCCCCAGGAACTGCCAGTACTACAGGGACAAGCTTAGGACCTGGGCAGGTGAGGGAGGGTTCTGCTATTCCTCTCAAGAGCCAGTTCCCATGCTATGGGTCCCATACACTCGTATTATTACCCTGAAATCACAGAACCCACTTTGTGTTAACATATTTTAGACACCTCTGTGTATTATTAACCATGGGTTAAATTTAGAGGCTCTATAAAATGCTGATCTCAGCAAAGAAAAGGACAACTTTTTTTTCACGTCCCAATTTGTCAGCAAGCTAAATGAAGCACTCACACTAGCCACTCTTAAAGACAGGGGTGTATTTTATATCTTCAAGGAGAACAGTGTTCTTAATTCTTCTTATCCTCAATATTAGCACCCCATTCTTGCAAAGAAAACCCTTCTATTTGTTGTGTATTTGTTGTTTCAGCCGCCTTTGAGAGATTTGAAGCACCTGGATTAATTCGCGGTGCCCCTTCCAGCACACATGCACCTGTGCTATCAACGCTTTTCACTGTTTTAATTTTATATGGACCATTTTATGTGTATGGTAGTGGCAAATAAGTGCAGTCATGATGTTTTGTGGTCCCAAAACATTTTCATCCCTCTAAAAGGAAACACTGCCCATTTAGTAGTTTCTCTCTCTTCCTCCAGCCCTAAGACTGACAGTTAGCTGCTAATGATTTTTTGTCTATGAATTTCCTGTTAGAGCTATAGCATGTCAGTGGAATCTTAGAGTGTGTGATGTTTTGTGTCTCTCTTGTCTAACTTGTCACATTTAAGTACTCTGTGTGTTTCTAAATGTCGTCTCTATGGTGTCTGAGTCCTTTATTAATTCTGGACATCAGGCGCCCATGCACTCCTACGTCTTGAGGTGATCCTTTTCTTCTCTCTTTTGTGTTCTCTATTTCCTTGAGTTGATCTTGTAGGATCTTAGTAACTATTATATTTTTCTGCTTCCGAAGGCATGTTATTTTCAACTTTGACTATTCCTGTTTTTTACAGCATTCAGCTCTTGTTGGGGATAGAATTTTATCTCATTGGGAGTACTGTTTGCTTGTGGACTTTGAGTGGCAATTCGAGAGCGTTGTTTACTTTTTGAGTTCCCATACCCTTGCCTTCACCCTTGTTTCCTTCATGCTCATTAACAGTTTTTTCGTGCGCTTGGTGGGTTGTTGACGTTTAAGTGAGGCACAGAAATGATCAGCAGCCCCTGTCACCAAAGCTTGAGGCATCTGCCCTCAGGTACATGTTTCTCTTCGTGTCCCTCTTGCAGCTGCCTGCCCAGTTTCTTAGACCAAAAACTCCAGCCAGCCTCTCTGGCCCCTTTATCCAGCAGTTTCTGCGTGTGCCTTGATAACTAGCGTTCGTTTTTACTTCCCTACCTGCTCGTTCTCCTTTCTTACTCTATATGCCAGGCATCGTGGTCTGTAATCTTTTTAAACTACAATCAGATGTTGTCTCTTGCTTGCTCACGTGTCACTTCGGGTACTGAAGAGGTAGCTGTGAAGCTCTTGCAGAGTTCAGTTCCCAACATCTTACGTCAGGGGTTCAGGACCCACTGTAACGTCAGCTCTGGGGGACCTGACAGCGCACTCTGCTTTTCCTCCAAGGCATCCACACAAACTTGTGTGCACGAGTGAATTTGGGACCGTGCAGCAACATGTGCTGACTGTGTGTGACACTGCTGATGTTCCTGTGCTTTCCTGGGGGGGTTGATTTTCATGTATGACTGTAGTAGCTGTTCATTTTATTATTGTTTTTAATTTAGATGACAAAATGGAGACTGAAATTAAGAGAAACAAAAAGACTCTTCTAGACCAACATGGACATTACCCAGTGTGGATGAACCAGAGGCAGAGAAAAAGACTGAAGGCAAAGAGAGAGAAAAAACGGGGGCAAAGCAAAGCCAAGGCAGCCAAGGGCCTGGCCTGGTAGTCCCTTAAACGGGAAAGTAGGCTGGGCGGTGTTGGTGCACGGCAGAGGCAGGCAGATCTTGAGTTGAGGTCAGCCTGGTCTACAAAGCAGATGCCAGGACAGCCAGGACTGTCACATAAAGAAGCTGTCTTGCAAAAAAACAAAACAGCAACAACAACAAAAAACCTGGAAAGTATTCTTGAGACAGACGTTTGATTGTTAGAAATGTCTGCACTGATTTCAGCTCTCACTAAATGGAAACTATGTTTTCATATTTTAGTTTGGTCTTACATCTGTAATTCAAAACCAGAGTAATTCATTTGTTTGGGGGAACTCGAATAAACTGTCTTCTGTGATGAAAGAAAATTGCATGCTGCCTAATGTTTCAGTATTATTGTCAGGCACCACAATCTTGTGAGCATTGCTGTGGTTATAATTATAATCACTGCCTCAGATTAAACATGCTTATACAAACAAAATTTGGACAAAAGCTAGTGTATTGTCATATCTTAAGATAGGGTCAAGGCTCTGAAGAAACGGCTCGGCAGTTTAGACCAGGTACTGCTCTTGCAGAGGACTCCTGCTTCATGTTGAGTGGCTCACAACCAGCTCCAGGGACCCACCCTCTTCTGGCCTCCACTGGCATCTTCATTCATGTGCGCAAGCTCCTCACACAATCACAACTAAAAAATAAGTCTGGAGAGAAAGGATGTCAGTGGATCTGGATCGTACAAGTAGTGTTTGCTTGGGGTTTTTATTTTTATGATTCATAATAAAAGATATTTTGTGTGTAGATCCTACAGTTTGAGGTTTTCTTTCATATATCTCTAAGGTTTCCAGCTGCTGAGAAGACCAGATGTCTTTCGTTGAGGTAGTCTATAATATACAAATTAGTGTGCCTTTTTTAGGTAATTCAAATATCACGGGGTTTCTCTGAAAACATGTTCGTCAGGTTCTTTTTTTTTTTTTCTTCTTTTTGTTTTTTGTTAGGGGGTTTTTCTGGGTAGCACTGGCTGTCCTGATACTCCCTCTGAGACTAGGCTGACCCACAGAGATCCACATCCCTCTGCTTCCTGAGTGCTGGGATTAAAGGTGTGTGCTGCCGCCACCTCCCAGCAGTGTTGTTCAGTTTTATATTGTGTAGTTTAAAATAATAAAGTGCAGCATTTCCCAGAATGTTATTCAGAATCAATTTCTCTAGTGTTAGTATTGTTTTATGAAGAGAGCTAGCATTAGCGTAACTACTGACTCTTAGGGACCAATATGATGAATTTTAGTTGAATCTATCTCAGCATACTTGGTTAATTTCATTCATTTAATCTAAATTTAGCAATCCATCTGAAATTTCATTCTAGTCAGATTCACCACCTTATGTGTTGAAGAAAACCAGGGACTTTGCAAATATCAGGAATGCTAAGAGCTATGCGCCTGCTCAGAAAAAAAATTAGCTTCACATGCAAAAAAGAAATACATTAGAGTAAAATTACTTGGCCCTAAAACCATAAACTGCCAAGTACATTGCTGAGCGTGGATATGACCAAGTGCTACAGAAGCTACAAAGTGATGCTGGATGCTTCTTAAGATTAGCATAATAAGCCCTCCTCAATTCACTCAATAGTTCATCAGAAAGTGAATAATTTCAAAATAAAACACATTTTTCTGAAGGTGGCAGGGAAAGACTAGGGTTGTAGCTCAACAATCAAACACTCGTCTTCCATGGATTCGAAACGCTGGGCTTGCTCCCAGTATTGATGGGTGAAAAGAAAGGGTTAGAAGGCGGGTAGCGTTCAAGGCCTTTGTTCCTTTTGTCGTAATTGTCAGTAGCTTTGTGAGGGGGAAATAGATACACTATTATGTGAAATGCTGCCGACAGTAAGCCACTGACACTGGAGTTATTTCCCTCTTTGATCATAGGCTCGTCTGTGTTAATGCGGCACCCTTACTTTTCATTGAGTTTTAGGAGCATCTGGGTTGCTGAAGTTGAAGACCCCACTTCCAGGGATCTATATACATTTTCCCTGTGGCTCTCAGCCTCAATTTTTTTTTTTTTTTTTTTTTTTTTTTTTGGTTTTTCGAGACAGGGTTTCTCTGTGGCTTTGGAGGCTGTCCTGGAACTCGCTCTGTAGACCAGGCTGGTCTCGAACTCACAGAGATCCGCCTGCCTCTGCCTCCCGAGTGCTGGGATTAAAGGCGTGCGCCACCAACGCCCGGCTTCAGCCTCAAATTTGATACCAGTGATAGAAGCTTGGAATACCCACCCAGGGCCTCTCCATGATGTTAGGTTGTTCACCTACTGTTGGTTGTGACATTTGGTCACTCCAGTTTTAATGTAAAAGTTGGAGACTGGGAGATGGTAAATGCTTACCGTGAAACTGTAAGAACCCCAGTTTGGATTCCCAGCACCCACATACAAAGCCAGGCTCAAGAGCATGTGCCTCGGGAGACAGACAGACAAGAGGGTTCCAGGATGCAGGCCAAGGTCAGTGACTATGAAACCAACCTGAAGGATGTGACCTGTGTCCTGAGGCCAATCAGTCTATGCAAAAGAATGGGCTCATCTTTAAAAGCAGTTGAGAAAAACGCCAGTTGAGGCTGCCCACCCACAGCCTCAGTTTACCAAAAACACTATCAAAAATGCGTGAGAGTCATGTTCTAATATGTCATGGTCTCACAACTTGGAAAGGTGACTGCTGTAGAGAAATTACTACCTTCCGCCCTGATTGGTCTCAGCCCCGAGTTTCTGGACTGTAGATGTGTTCATCTCCAATTTTTTGTCAGGACATTTAGAATGGGACTCCAAAGTCAGTTCATGGATGTGATCAGCTTGTCGTTTTATTTTTCGAAAGGCAAATATGTGGAGAAGCAGTATGGTTCTTCAATCTTTTCTATAAATAACTTCTCTTATACCGCTTTGTCTTCGATGCTTTCGGGAGAATTGCTGTGAAACCACCAGGGGGCGCTCAAGCCAAGCAACAAACACTTGGAATTAGATTGAGATGCATTAGAAACAGAATGGAACTACTTTTGTTGCTTTTAAAGAGATTAAATATACACAGGCCTAATAAAAATATACATTTAAAATGATTAGCTCACTTAATTCAGAAACCTTGTGACTATGCTGCTAATGTTATCTATACTCAAGGAAACTGAGGCACAGGGGTCATGGAGCTAAAACCAGACAGATGTTCCAAAGAAGGCATTGTCATAGAGAAACGGTGTTCCTAGGGTACAGGACTTGTAACTTGGTTTAACCCGTGATGGGATCGGGTTGAAGCAGGCTCAGGTTAGATAAAGAACACACTTTACTAACTAAATGATTTATAAAGCCCTTCTCAAACTAGGTGGAAGCCAGGCTGGGTTTCTTTAAGTAACACTTCATTAGAAATGTGCTAACTGATCCAAACACAGGTGTAGGCAAGGTTTATTAGTGATCAGGCAGCTAGGTTTGTTTTTGAGACAAGGTCTTGTTATGCAGGCCTGGATAGTCTGGGACGCATAGATCAAGCTGATCTAACTTGCAGCAGTGCCTGGGCATCCTGAGTCCTGGAATTACAGACATATACATACCACCATGGCGGCAAGTTGGTCACGTGTTGTCGATTGCTGTCACATGAATGCAGACATACGGTTTTCCCCATCAGTGCACATATTACTTAGAATATACAGTGACTTTAAAGAAACTGAATGCCAGGTGGTGGTGGCATACTCCTTTAATCCCAGGGAGGCAGAGGCAGGCGGATCTCTGTGAGTTTGAGACCAGCCTGGTTTACAGACCGAGTTCCAGGACAGTCAGGGCAACACAGAGAAATCCTGCATGTGTGCACCCTTAGTACACAGGCAATTGCCAAAGTTTTATTTCTGTGCCTACTTTAAAGCAGAGGGAAAAATACAGTGTGAAATCAAATTAGACTCAGCTGATGGAATCATACAAAAAAAAAGTAGGAGCTGCATGCCTTCAGAATTCGTATCCATGTAACTGTGTAGGAATTTTAGGAGTTGGAGAAGAGAAATGAACTGGCTACAAATCATTAGATTCAGCAACTTGAAGTGTCCTGGAGGAGAAAGTGAAGGAGGATGACAGGCTTCTTAGAGAAGTGAAACACCAGGACCACAGGGGCTCTAAAGCCCTCAGGGAATGGCCAAATGGAGGCAGTCCCCAGCTGTAGTGCAGATATTAAGCTGTTAACTTACCAGGGAAGGACAATTGGCAAAGAGTGATTCAAACTTGCACTAGCCACACATAGTTCTATCACATAAAATCTTCATTGCAGCAGACACATGCAACTTTTATAAGAATCTGTTTGCACATGTTAGGGGACGTTCAAGTACTTACACTACACCAAAAGCCACCTGTCTGGCTCACGGAGATCAGGTCGGTTCGGCTCCATTTAAAAAGGAACCATAAAAATTTACATTGCTTGAGATCAGGAGACAGCTCCACAGATAAGAACATTTGCTACGAAGCCTGAAGACCTGGGTTCAAATCCCGAGCATGTTTAAGCCAGGCATGGTCTCATGGTGGTAATTCAGTGATGTGGTAGCTGCCAGCCTAGCTCTATGCTCAATGGCAGACCTATTCCAAGGGAAGGAGGTAGAGGATGATAGAACAAGACACCCAGTGTCCTCTGCTGGACTCTGCTCATGTCCACAGACGTGTGCCCGTGGGTGCACGCCATACAGACCCACATGCATGCACGTGTGCATGCTTAGTATACAGGCAATTGCCCAAGTTTTATTTCTGCACCTACATTAAAGCAGAGGGAAAATACAGTGTGATATCAAATAAGACTCAGATAATGGGATCATACAAAATGTTTAAAGAATGCTTATTCTTCTGTATACCTCACATTGATTGCTGAATCTGTAAAGTAATGCTGAGAAGTTAATCTGTTTATCCGTGGTTTCCAATGAGCAGTTGGAGAAGGACATGTTAAGAGTCTTACAAGTGGGATGCTGTCCTCAGGGGAGAATGAGTGTCTAGAATGGAAAACTGTGGAGACAGACTGATCCCATCTCAAGAAGAGTCTGTATCTAGGGTGCCACCCCTGGCCAGCTGAGGCTGGGTGGAATGTAGCTGAAAGATTAAAACATTGGACTTTCAGGTTAAAAGCAAGATCTTCCCTTCAGGCCCAGAAATATCATGTAGAAAGTTGCACTTAACGTATTTTATTCTTATTTTGCTCCCTCCAGTCTTTTGGCCTTCCATGATTATAGACTTCAGTATCTTTATAGTGAAAAATAACAAAATCTGAAGTCTCCTTAATTTCGTTAATGTTAAATCTGGTACTCATTCAACTAAGCTCCCAATTAAAGCATGGAAAAATGCTGTAAACATCTGCTTTAAACAACGGATGGGGTGAAGACTTTCCAATTTCAATCTAAAGAATGGCACAGCTTTCTAATATGTTAGGTTTGTGCGTATTGGCTTTCCCTAAAGCGATGGATTGACTTGGCATCCTGCTATCTTATGGAACACTTTCTCACCCTCATGGTGTGTGTCTTTATAGTTTTCAATATCAGCAAAACCTTTCCTTTAAGTGGCCTTAGCCGGGTGTTGTGTATCACTGTACAGTAACTGCGAGTACATATGGGGTCTCTGATCCGTGTAATAAAGTACATTTGTCATGGATCTTGTGATCTGCGTACCTTCCAGCCGTTACTTCATAAATCTGTTCCATCGGAGGATTGCTTTGTACAGCCGTGGCTGAAGCTGCTTTTAATAAACTAATATTTTGTGTCTTTTATATGTAATCAACAGGGAGTATTATAGCCTTGTGCCCCTATGGAGAAACA